CTTCTGTATTTGAAGACTGTTTTGTTATGTGGACACAGATTTAGAGTCATGGTATCTTTTTGGATACAATACCTTTATTATTACATGGCCCCTCTTTATCCCTGGTAACATTCCTTGTCCTGAAATCTATGGTATCTAATTATAGTATAGTCATTTTACTCATCTTTTGATGTTTACATGGTATTCCTTCTTTAATCTTTTTTAAACCTATTTATAATTTCATATTTAGAGTGCTTAGCTCAAGCCAGCTGACATTCCAATGTGGAATAGGAAGAGTTCACGAGCTTCCATCCCTAACTACTGAGGTACTACGGACTGCTGGTAGCTTCTAGAGGAGGAAAAGTCAATTATCTTTAAGAGTTTTACACTTGGTAGGTTATCATCACTCCAGTGGATGGCCCCACACTCAGATATGAAGAGCAGAAATTGGAATCAATGAATTACAGGGGAAGAAAAGGACATGAAGTTGGGAATATAGGAAGAAGGGGCTGGAACTCAAAGAACTTAGTAAAAGCATTAATAAAAATACTGGATATAGTATTGTGTGCTTGTGGTCTTGGTTGCTCATGAGGTTGAGGTTGGATCACTTGAGCCCAGGAGTTAGAGACCAGTTTAGCAACAAAATGAGAAAGTATTGTTTGGGGGTGGGGTGAGGAAGAAAAATGGGGAACAGGTGGCTTTTTAGACAGTATAGAGTTAGGTCTTTCTTTTTACTTAATCTGACAATGTCTTTTCATTAGTGGATATTTTTTGTTACTGAGATTATGCATATGTTTGCATATGCATCACCATGCCACTTATTTTGTTTTCTCTTTTGTATTTTTATTTCTGCTTGTTTTTGGAACAAATTTAGTTTTTTTTAAATAAAAATTCCATTTTTATCTCTACTACTGACATATTATTTTTTAAGAAGTTGATAGTTGCTCTAAACTTTATACTGTTTGGCTTTAATTATTCATGACCTACCTTCAAGCAAAATTTCTCATGTAAGTATTTTATAGTAGTACAACCTCAGTCCTCATCATTTTTGCCACACATATGTGACTGTCATATATTTTGTTTTCATTTGCTACAAAACCACAATACATTGCTATCAGTCTTTTAGAGTGACTGAAAATAAGACACTAGATATCCTAGCACCCAGGGCACAGAGGAAGGAGGATCTCCAGTTCAAGGCCAGCCTTATCTACATAGCAAATTCTGTTTAAAACAAAAATCAGCTAAAGATTACAGGAAGTACAAGAAAATCACCTCCTTGAGGTGAATGCCATGTGTATTACATCAGAAGCTCATTCTGAAAAGGAGTGGAGAGAACTGGCTTGGGTGCAGTCAGGCATTTCCATCACCGGATGAGGCAACTCCCAGAGAGCCCTTTGGATGGGCAGGACATGTCTACTTAGAACCCAAAGGTCAGCCTTGGTTGTTACATAACTTCAGTTGAGTGTTTTTGAGAAAATTAATTTTTTTGTCTTCTTTTGAAAATTAAAATTCTTTAGTTCATACAGTTTCCCCTGCCCTCTGTTAAGTGTGGGTGTGACATTATTTCTTATCCTCCCATCCTTAGTCAAACTGAAACTGCCTCCAGGAGTTCTGTTGTTGCCTTCGAATTTCACAAGCTATTTATACGGGAAGGCAAAGAATCATGAATTGCTTAAATATTCTTTAAAAACATCGTGATGACAAACAAGTCAGTGAGTTATCAATATGAAGACAAACCAATAAACCAGTGGACTAGATAGAGGCCAGACAACAGCCACTGACTTTACATAGAAGCAAAGGACAAAGAACATTGTCAGTGGTACTGGAAAATCAGATACCCACAAGGAAAAGAACATCCAAAGTGGTGTTTTCATGGCCCTCAGATTGGTCACAAAAGTCAACAGTGAAAGGAAAAGTATGGGAAATTTGAAACAGTTTAAGATCTTTTGCTCAGAAAAAGTTAACATTATGAGAAGAAAAGGCAAGTCACAGAATGGGGAAAGAAATTTTCAACATATAACTCTGACACCAAAAATACATAAAGTGCCGATAGTACAACTACTACAAAACAGGCAAAGGGGCTGGCAAGGGTCTACATAAAAGAAACTTCTCAATTAGCAAGTAAATATATATAATGTTGTTTAAACTCATTTATATTTTGGGAATTTCAAACTAAAATTCATTGATATACCAGTTAACAACTGTCAATGGTTTCATTTTTATTAAATAAACAATTCAACAGAAATCCAAGCAAATACCAAGAAATTATCTTGATGGCAGGATTTGGAGTTATCATTGAACCAATTCATACGTCCATCTTCAGCGCTTGTTATGTATGTTTGAATTTCATGACAGCCCCTCCAGCCCCTTCAAAAAGCTTCTGAAGCAGTGAGATGGCTCAGAGAGTACCAACCCTGACAACCTGAGGCTTCCTGGGAACCTAAGAGTGGAAGGAAAAAACTGGGTTGTCCTTTGACCTCGGAATGTACATGTGGGTGAGTGTGCCAGCATACACACTCACAAACACACATGGCCCATGCATGCACTAAATGAATGAACAAATACTCTTGTAGAAAGCTCTGACCATTGGTAAACTTACTTTTCAATAGAAAGGCTTTAGGAGAGTGTCAGGGCTATCTGCACTCTGTATACAAACAGTTTTAATGTTTCAGCAGTCACAGGGTTTATTTTCTTGAAACAGAGTAGGATCTTGGGGATTATTTCCTTGCTTGGAACTGAGAAAAACAAAACATCAGATGGAGGCAAACACTGTAATGTTAGCACAGACAAACTCACCTTAGAGGACATGTGACTACAGTAAGCCACCAACTCCATAAGTTCAAATTAGCAGGATGCACCCACTCAAGGGCAAGACAGAACCAACAGTGGGTATACATCTGAAATCCCAGCACCTGGATGCCTGAAGTAGGGCCAAGAGTTCAAGGTTATCCCAGGCTGCATAGTGAGACCTTATCTCAAAATCAATCAATCAATCAATCAATCAATCAATCAATCAATCAATCAATCTCAAAACCCCACCAAGGCAGAGAACTTTGGATTTCCCTGTGGCCTGCTTTAGAAATCTGAAGGTTTGGCTGAAAAAGAAATGCAGAGGTTTGGGAAAGAGGTTTCCCCATAAGTTGGGTCACTTTTTCTTTTCCTGGAGTGGGTAGTGAGGAAGTTTACTTTTCCTCCTGGACAGTGAAATGTTAATTCTTTACACCCCCCCCAAAAAAAACACGACAAATGAGGACTAAATATCCATCTTTCTCAACAGCAGACTAGCACACTCTGAAGTCCTCTGGGGACTTCGATGACAGCTCTTCGATCTTAACTAGCTAGAGAGAAATTTTCAAATTCACTTCCTAGATTTCTGCCTCTGCTTCCAGTCTTCCCCCTTCCACACCTATCTAAGCTCAAAGCTGCTCTTCTCTCCAGCGACAATTTCCTTGAGGCATCTGCAGACATCACAGACGCTGGCCTTCTCTACTTCATGGTCATGGATGTATGAAGGAAGCCCCTCTCACTTCCTCAGTAGCTGTGTCCAATCACAAGGGCACAGAGGAAAACACCCCTGATGTCTATTCCAGTCTTCTTTTCCAAAAAGTGGAGTTTGGTTTCAGTAGTTGCTTCTCAGTATTTACACATATTCTATGGCCATCTATAGCACCCCCTTACAAGATAGACAATAAGATACAAATAAGTATCTGAAATTTTAAGCCTTTACTATCTTTTTAGTGATGAATAATGATTTCTGTGTGTCCATGAAGATTTTCCTTCAAGAGTTAGTATGGATAACTTGATCCAAACATTTCACTGTATATACAGATTTCTAATTCAATTTTTACTTTTTTTGGTGATAAATACAGATTTACACACAATTTTAAGAAGCAAAACAGATTCCATATGCCTGTAACTTAACTGTTAATACAGTTGTACTCAATCTTGCAATCACAACAAAACAATAAAAAGCATAATAGAGAAGCCTTCCATCATCCAGATCTGTTGGTACAGGCCTATAATCTCAGACATGCAGTAGACTGAGGTAGGATATCATAAATTCAAGGCCAGCCTGGCTTACACAGCATGTTCAAGGTCATCCTGGAGACTCTGTGAGATCTTGTCTCAAAAATAAAAAGTAAACAGGGATAGAAATATAGTTCAGTGGTAGAGCCCTTGCCTAGCATGTGAAAACCTAAATTCTACTAGTACTGCAGTAGGGAAAATACTACCATATTTACTAGAATTCTTCATGTTCTTTTAAAGCAAAACTTAACTTTCTATCTCTACCCTTTACTTACATGGCTACAAGGTAATCTATCATCCTTTTCATTTCAAAAGCATTCACAAGTTGACTATATGTTAGTGAGACTGCTGCATGAATCCTCAGTTTTCTCATTTTCAATTGTGGAGTACTATCATGGTATAGATGTTTTGTAATCATTTGTTCATTGCAAACCCCTGACTTTTTGGGTCTCCCATATAAGGTGCTAGACATGTCCTTATAGTTGTTTGATGGTATGTATATCTTACCTTCAATTACCTTTCTACCTGCCAATTAAAGAGCAGCATCATAGGGCATCATAGGATTTGCCAAAGGGCAAAGATCACTTCTGTATAGCTGACCATAAACCAGGGATGCATTCCTGGGCTCTTATCAGTACTTGCAGCTTTATAGCTCCCTGACCTTGGAATGTCTTTGGCTCTCTATCTGTGTTTCAATTAGACAAGCCACATGTTTTCCAAAGTATATTCTTGGAAACATGAATACCCTAAGGAGGGGGTTGGGATGTCATGACTACAGTGAATACTAAGCCTCTCTCTTGCAATCAGAATATACTTAATATGTACAAGGGAGGACTCTAGCAGTAAACTGCCAAAGTGGCTGAATGCCAGCTTCGTCATCTTCTAGAAATAGGAACCTACCAACAAAAGGCACTTACCTTTCCCATACCTACATTCCTCATTCATAAAATGAACAGTGCCCACTGTATGAATGAAAAATTCTAAGGCTATAGAAATCACTTGACAAAAGTTATTTTTATTACCATAATTATTATCTGTGGTTGTCTGAATAGGAATGGCTCCCATGGTTGCTATCTTTGAATGCTTAGTTATTAGGGAGTGGTGCTACATGACAGGGTGTGGCCTTGTTGGAGAAAGTGTGTCACTGGGTGTGGGCTTTGGGGCTTCAAATGCTCAAACCAGGCCCAGCGTCTCTCTTCTTGATGCCTCGTGATCCAGATGTAGAACTCTCGGCTACCTCTCCAGCACCACGTCTGCCTCATGCTTCCCACCATGCTGACAAGGGACTAACCCTCTCGAATGTTAGCAAGTCCCAATTAAATTCTTTCAAAGAACTGCCATGGTCATGGTGTCTCTTCACAGTAATAGAACAGTGACTAAAACACTATCATAATCAAAATCACTGTCAATACCCTGGCCCAATCCTAGAGATTCATATTCATCAAGTCTCTAGGTCTGTCTGGGCCACATGAAGCAGAAGTCCTCTCCATCAAGAACATGTTTAAGACAGGATTACGGGCAAGATCCGAACCAGAACCAAACTGCCTGGTGGCAAGGTGTTCCACCTACATCCGTATGTAGATGGAAACAGCTGGACAGACTCATCGACTCGGCAGGAGAGTGCTTTTCTCTTCAGACCTGGGACTGTAGTATCTTGGAGGTCACAGTTCCTCATGAGGTGGCTGAATGAATGGAGCACAGTGAAGCTGACAAACCCGTTTTCCACAGAGACATACAAACTTTATTTGCGAGTCATGGGCTGTCAAATCAAATTTGAAAATGAGCCATTTCTGAAGAAATGAAAGAAAATAATCACGGCAGCCATCATTTTTCTGAGTTCCACACTCTGCGACAATCCTCATTTTTGACAGTTGGTGATTATCAAATACCAGGGCGATTTCCAGGACACTGGGGCATCACTCTGGAGGTGGTTGCAATCTTCTTACCACTTCTGAAGCAATGTGCAGGTAAGCTTTGGCCTGGAAAAGAACAGACTCATTGTTCTATGTTTCCCAGGAGACACGGAATGACTCCTGAACTGTGTGTCACAGATGGCCGCTGTGGTAGCTGATGGTAAAGCAACAGTCTGGGCTGGGGAGTCCAGCAGTGAGGGTGCATTGCAGGTGGGTCACAGGAGAAAGGGACTCATGCTATTTGAGGGTAAATACTTAGAAGGTGACTTTCTGAAAGCGCTGAGTTGAGACTGATTTTTTTTTTTTTTTTTTTTCAGGCAGCATTGTATCACTTCAACCAATACATTTTGGTCCTTGCTGCATGTGAAGCCCTATGCTGGGAAATCCATGGGATGCAATGGTTTAGAAGGGGACAGGACAGCTCATGAGAGAGGAACTGGGGCCCTGGAGTCACACAGGCTTGGCTGGAAAGCCTGGTGTCACTACTGACTAGCTGAAGGACCTTAGGCAATAACATATTCCTCCTAGGATGTTTCTACAGCTCTAAGATGTCAGTGGGACCAGCACATGCTTCCCAGGGTTATGGGAAGGCATGTAAAGTGCTGGCTCAGAGTGTGCACAGCTTAAGAGGCCACTAAGCCTGGCCAGGCTTGGTGGCACATGCCTGTAATCCCTGTGGGTTGGGAGATAGAAGCATGAGAATCAGGAGTTCAAGGTCATCCTCAGCTACGGTGAGTTCAAAGCCAGAATGGGTTATACAAGACTCTCAAAGTGCCAAAACCATAAGGGAGGGAGGGAGAAGGAAAGGGAGGGAGGAACGGAGGGAGGGAGGGAGGAAGGGAGGGAGGGAGGGAGGGAGGGAAGGAGGAAGGGGGGAGGGAGTGTTTCACTGAGTAGCTCATATGAATACTTTTGGAGAACATTTTTTCCTGAGGAATAATGAAATCTCTGTTTATGTCATCCAGCATAAACACCACAAATACATCTATGTAAAATATACAATTGAGATTTCTCAAGCTGTTACTTGAGCTAACCATTTCTTAGCTCAACTTCCCTGTTATTATTGCAGGTCTGTCTATTCGGCCATCTAAAGGAACTCTGCTCTGTCCCTACTAGGCAACAGGGAAAAAATGAGGCCAGAGTGAAAGAACTTGTATGGAAGTTAGCTTCATTTCTGTTTTGTAATATTTGTAGTTGGTTTATCATATTTGTTCCTATTAAGGCAATGGGGGGATAACCTAGAAATTATATGATAATAAATCTTCCATTTATATTTGAAAATCTTCAAGAATATCTTCTAAGAGGATATCATTTTGTATGCTAGTTTTTTATTTGATACAAATGATAAGACCATACAAATCACCTGTCATTGGTTCATTCCATGTTTACTAGTTTCAGAAAAGGCAAAGGTCAGTTACAATTCTGCCAGCATGAGGCAATGCTATGACATTTAGAGCTGGATTCAAAGCAGACATCACCCGTCCTTCCTCTTCTGCATTCTCTGGCTTACTCTTTTAACTGGTGCCATGATAGAAATTTGGGCCCATTCACTGGGTAGGTAACAACCATTAGCTCTTAACTGGTGTCACAGCCCTCCCAACTTCTCAAATGATGCCTCAAATTCACCAGAACCCGCACCCCTATCTGAGTTAGCACTGTGTAGTGTTCATCTCTCCTGAAAGAGAAGTACCAGAGCAGAGTTAAACTTCCAGAAGCAAACTTACTTGTTTTGTTTGGATAAAGAAAGTTATCTTAGGTAGAGGCAGAGTCCAGGACCCAGTTACAATCTTTAACATCAAGAAATGTTTTTTTTAATGCTCCAGCTGGGAACCCAACTTAAACCCTGCTACTCTGGACTATAGGCCATCAGAGTAAAATTTCCTTCATGCTGTAAGGGTTAGGCATACTTGGACCTAGTCCTTTTATGAGGGGAGAGGAAAGGCATCAGGTGGCTAGGACACCTTAGAGAGCAAGTTTCTAAAGGCAGGAAGGGCAGCTCTGATCTATTTGGCATCTTCCAGTGCAGTTGCATATACCTCATTTAACTCACCCCCCCATACACACATGGCATCAGTATATAGATGGGGGAGGAAGCTTTAAGAGTAGAGGGAGATCTTTGGGGGTTCCAATTAGATAGTGGTAAGCTTGGCAATCACTCTGCATGGACTCCAATTCTATGTTTTTCCATCCCTTCAGAGATCCCTTTTGTGACTCTTAACACAACTCTTAGGTAATTTCCCACAGAAAATGCACCTTGGCACATTTTGACAAGATTTCCCTCCGAACAGGTTAGGATCCCAAGCCCTGTCCCATGGCTGTCCTTGGCAGCAGAACCCAAGGGGCGGATTCTCCTGAGCTTGTCCCCTTGAGCTCTGTGCTGTATACAAAAGAGGTGACCGAAGCCAGCTCCCAGGCACCCTAGCCACACAGAACTGGCCTGCAGCAATTGGAAAGTCAAGTGGAAACTGACTGGGAAGAGAAAGCATGGGTTGTGTACCAGCTGAGTGTGCAAGTGCCTTCTAGTACTAGCCTGGACAAAATTCCTCAGTGTAAACAAACTCCTGCTTAAGGGTTAGGAGACGGAATCTGCTTCACAAGGATGCTATGGGAACCAGGTGAAAAAGGGGAGGAATGTACTTAGCATTATGCTTGTCTCTTAGAAGAAATGACAAAGAAGTTGGAGCTATTAATATGGGAGCCAGAGGCCGACACAATGTAAAGAGTCTGATTGAAAAGAACAGACTGGCTTCTTGCTATTTTACAGTTTACTAGCTCTGTGACAGTCCTGGGGAAATGATTCATCTTCCTTGAGTTTCAGTTTCCTCATCTGCAATAGGGGGATTCCCTACATAGCACACTGAGTTGTTAGAAGGACAGAAATTGTGTATATTGTGTATTAAAGTCCTCTGACTACTATTATTAGAATATGACCAACAAGAGCAACAATGTCTGAAACCCCAGAACGGAAGTAATTGCTTCCATGGATGGAGAACAAGGAACCAGACACTCACTTCATGCTTTCCTATTTATAGCATTTCTACTTAAAAATGACCAGAAGCCTTCATATTTAACATTGACAATGAGTGCATTAGAGTTTTATCATTTTATGAAACTCAACCAAAAGTAGCCTAGCTCAAAAGACTGAGACCGTTTTAGGACCCTTACCACTGTCACCTAGGAACAGTGAGACCCAGTGACCACAATCAGGCCACAGAAACACTAACTCCAAAAATACTACCAATACAACTGCTTAGCATTTAAAACTGTATTTTCTTTGAATGATTTGTTATATGTTCTCTGTTAAATGACATTCCTGTAACTCAATGCATTGCTTCTTATTTTTGGAGTATTGTAAAGAGGGGTGGAAAGCAATAATGAACATGTAGAAATACCTTAAAAATCTCAACTCGTAATTGAAATTAATAGTAAATACCTTTAATTATTCTGCTCCTGGAAGTCATTTAAATGTGCATAACTTTTTTTTTAAATCCTCATTTCAAACTTTTCATGAAAACAATAAAAAGTTATGGTTTTGCTAATCTGAAAGTTCTTTAAAGAAAAAGTAGAAAGGAAATGTAATACCTAAAAGGAAAACACTGATTTACTCAGAGGTCACACTCCAGCAGCTGCATCACACTGGCTGACACTCAAGGCAGGGAGAGTCCCTCTGAGCCCACCAAAGGCAACTATGAATGAATCGGAGCTGTTTATTCATGATTTTAGATCAAATCTACTCCCACTTTATTCATGGCATTAGCCAGGCTTGGTTTTTACACTTTCTTGTTCATAGATGATTAGAGAAGGGAACAAGAATGAAGAGGGCAGTTGTCATAAGCGGACAGGAAGAGTCCTGTCCACTGAGGGCAAGGCTGGAGTCCACTAAGGGCAAGACTGGAGCTGATGACAGGACACAAAACTACATCCAAACTGACACACAGATAACTGAGCTTCCAACTTAAACAGCAAGGGCTAAGCAGAAAAGAAGACATATACATGACTGATTTCATGTCTGTTTTTCAAGAAACATAATAAAATGTTTATCCTTAAATTTTTCATATTTTGGCAACTTAGCAACTCTGTCAGTTATCCCTTAGGATGCTGGCTAAGGAAACACTACTAGATTTTCTGCCTTGCTCCCGACTATCCCTAATTGGATACTCCATGTACCTGCTTTCTCACTTCAGCTTCCCTTCTCTCAACAACCAGCCGAAGGGGTCACACTCTGGAGCAGTTAGCAGTTGCCAGCCAGCAAGTTCTCATATGGGTTCTTTATGTGAAAAGTGCCAGGAGGCCAGCTATCTGCTGTTTGAACTGAGAGTTTGGTACCCACACTCGCAGCCTGGCACATGACATGATGAGTGGCTCAGAGTCAAGGTAAGTAGCCTGTATGTATGTATGTATGTATGTATGTATGTATGTATGTATGTATTATGTCCTGTGCACAAGCAAGCTTAATGTAATCTCTCTACTTTCTGTATATCACAAAGAATGCATCTCACAAAAAGACAGACACATGAAAACACAACTTACCTCCTCACTTTCAGGCTGTGAAAACACAACTGGCTGACCTTTATCTGAGGCTTCCCTTATACTGAGGTGTAAGGGTACATCTCCTGCAAAAGCCCATGGGGAAACAGACAGAGATGCTTACACAGGTGTTCACAATCTCACTGCTCCAACTCTGGAAGAAATAAAATCTGAACTGAAGTCTCCCAGACTAAGTTGAACTATGCCTACCTTCAATTTGCTAAATGCCTAAAAGAGGAATTTTGAATGCAAAGTAAGGGTGAAAAATTCCACTTAAGGCAGTTGAGAGACCATGCATGCACACAGGTACAAGTTTTGGGGCAACCAACCAAGAAATGAGACATCTGATTTGTTATTTGCTGAAGATCTCCAGGCGAGGGATAGCTCAGAGGGCAATCCCCTGTAATAGTTGACAGACATGATGTGTTGCACACCAAGGAGAAGATGGACAAGGAAAGAATGCAGAGGCAAAGCAGTCCCAGACAGACACCAAAGATTCTTCCAGATGTTGCCAGATGCGTCAGCAAAGACAGCAGTTATGAAATAAATCATGGACTGGCAAGATGGCTCAGCAGGTAAAGGTGCTTGCTCCCAAACCCCATGACTCAAGGCAGATCCCCAGGACCTACACAGTGTAATGGGAGAATCAACTTTGAAGTTGTTCTGTGATCCCCACCACACACACATTGCCAAGGTACCTGCGCCCACATATGTATACACAAACATAGAAAAAGTGCAATAAAAACATTTTAAAAAATAAGTCAGATATATATCTCAATATCAATCTATGTTTGAGTCACTTTTTTAAAAACTGTCTACTAATCATGTAGCATGAGACATAGCGTGTGAGCTTGATGTGTTCTTGGGAAGCACTGCAAGCACACAGACTGACATGGAGCAGCTGTGAACATCTGACAAGGCTGTACCCAGAGGTGTGAGAGCAGAGTGCTTTGACCCAGTCTCTGAAGGCTGGGAACTAAAATGTAGTAGATGGAGTCATGTGTCTCAGCATGCTCAAATCCCTATAAAGGTTACCAAAACATGTGTGTAAATGTGTGTTTTATATCAATATCTCACACAGTACCCTGCCAAGAAATATAAACAGTGCAGACATCTATGTCACAAAATATTATAATTTATCCCACATAGTACAGCAGAGAGACAAGTATTTCAAGCTGCTATTATCAGCCAACTTCGCAATTGTTGTTCCAGTTATTTTTAGGTTTTTTGGCTAGTGTACAAAATGAGTTTCATTATACATGTATATTGCTGTACTCTGCTCATACAATCTTCATGCTTTCCTAAATATCCAAGATGCTAATCTTGGCTGTCAACTTGACTACATCTGTAACTAACTAAAACCCAAGCAGCTGGACAAACCTTTGAGAGATTTGCTAGCATGGATCATCTGAGCTGGGAAGATCCACCCAAAATCTGGCCACACCTGGTAGCAGCCCACATAAAAGAACATGGAAGAAGGAAGCTTTTGTTTTGGTTTTTTTTTTTTTTTTTTTTTTTGCCTGCTTCCCTTCACTCTTGATGGCAAGCTCATCTATCCTGTTGCTGAAGCATACCTTTTCTGGTATTAGAACCTACATCTTCAGGATTGTAACATGGATTGAATACCAAATGAGAGATCAAGCCTTGTGAATTAAATAACTATTAGATTCTTAGCCATTTGGTTCAGGTTAACAGAAAACCATTATTGGATCAACCAGACTGTAGACTGTAACCCACTCTAAAAAGTATACACATTTTCTCTCTCTTCTCTTTTCCTCTCCTTTCCCCTCTCTCTCACAGAGTTCTGTTCCTTTAGAGAACACTGACAGATAAAATATCCAACAGTCAAATGATAAAACACATGATTATTTCCTTTAAGAATCAGCTTTGCAGCAAATCTGATGTCCTTCTGCAGGTCAATTTAAGACTGTAGGAGATTCTCACAGGAGCAGACAGGTAAATGTTACATAAAGAGCTTAGAGACTCAGAAAGTTTTTAATCAAGGAAACCTGAACGGCTTCTTTCTGCTGCAGAAATGGAAGAAGACAGGTCAAGCCTGTGTTTTATAGTCACCTGCTGACATAGTCCTTGCCCTCCAGAGTCCTACCAATATACACAGACACAGAAGACCACGGGAAGCCTCAGTGGGAATGGGAATGAAGCCCAAGGAGCAGCCTGGCCAGGAAGAGCATCTTGGAAAGAACTCAGGGCACATTCCAGATGCTGGGCAGACTTTTCTCTGGGATGGTCTGAGACTTAACTACTGTGTATCTACTATTCCTTTAGATTCGCATGGACAAAGATCTACAGAACCACTTCAGGACAGAGGGGTGGCTCAGGCAATAAAAACACTTGGCCCTGAGTTCAGTTTTAGGGACTCTCATGGCATGGAAGGAGAAAATTGACTTCTGAAAGTTGTTCTCTGACCTCCTCATGAACACAATGTCACATGTGCCACCATCCCTTCACCCCAACACACAGGACAGAAATAAATTTACAAATACAATTATAAAAATTCAAAGAGCCATTTTAGGAATTATCAACCCAACAGGTCAGAAAAGAATTGGGGTGGGGATGTTAAACTGCAGAAAACCTGAGCTGAGCAAGGTCTTCCTGGTTTCAGTTCCTCATGCCCAGTCCCACCTCTTTATAAGCAGAGTGCCCCCTGCAGTTCATGGGAGATCTCTCTGGGCTTCCCTGACTGCACTGAGTAGATGAATGGGAAGTCCTAATTATTGTTCCTGTGACAGTGTGGAGATGCTCTTCTACAGTAGGGCCCAGTAGCCATCACACATTTTAGGTCATCACACATTTGTGAGCAGCTGCTTGAGAGAGCACTTCCAGTGTCCCGGAGTCTTCAACATCTAAATAAATGAGTTACCAAACTGCCCCACTCGTTCTAAGTTAGGGAAGTACACTACCAGCATAATTCAATAATGCCTTTATAATTACACATTTACTTTATTACATAAGTGAAAGTCAATCTGTTACGTTATTATGCAGATTTGGAAAATTGAACTTTCTAGAGAATATAATTAGTGGCTATAATTATAGTAATGTATCAAAATATATCATTAGCATTCACCTGGTATTGTAGTTGCAACTACAGAGCAATGAATAATAACAACAATGCATTTAGCATTAACTTTCGGAAACTTACAATAGAGAACGATTTGAAATTGTTTCATCTATAAAAGATCTTAATTTCCAAGTACCTGAAGCTAGTAACATCTGTGTATGCTCTGAACAGGAGCTCATTCAGGACCGCAATAAGAAAGCATGTTGTCTTAAACATCCACAGCTTGTTTGTGGACTTTTTATAAAATCATTACTCAAAATCCGGGTTGTTGTCATTTTTTTTCACTCATCACATGATCTTTTCCCCTCTTCCTACACTATTTATTTCTTGGATCCAGTGCAGTAAACAACATCTACAGTGAAAATTTGGGTGCTATCTTTTGTAGAAATGGCAGTTGCATATCAGAGTAATCAGAAGGAGATATTGTCATTCAGCAGCTGGAAGACTGACAGAGAACTTCTCATAAAGGCACTCACACAGTCCAGGAATGTTCTCATAGAAGGTGTGCTGTATCACACTGAGGAAACACGGCCATTGCACACCTACTTGTAAAGTAACATCTATGTCTGATGTCACAACCAAGCTAACTACCACCACTTAAAATATGGCTTTGAACAATGGTACCCAGACTACATCTCTCTACTCAAACTGAATATACAGGCAGGTTTTAATGTGTCGTGGAAACCATGTCATGAACAAGCTTATTCACAGACTCTAGAGAGAGCTTGACACATACAGTGGCGCTATACTAACACTCCAAAAACACAACGCTCCAAACAACTACTTACATTAACTCCATGGCAGGCTTCATTGCCGTTTCCCTTCCTGAAATTTCCCCCATGAAAGAGCATTCTAAGGTCTTACCTAGAACATCAAGATCAAGGGTCTGTGCTAGCTTTCTTGCTCCATCAGCACCAAAAATATGGGTTCTGTGCTTACATTTTGGACACTGGAAGACACTCATGTTTTGGACAAGTCCAAGAACCTAGAATAATACAAACACATTAAAGTTAAAATGGAATTACAGCATATCATAGTATATAATTCAATGTGTTTTTACTGAGTACCTACTAGTTAGTGATACATGGTGAGTAAGGCAGGACTCTCTGCTATTACGGAACTCACAAGCTAGTGAGAGATGAGGATAGGTAACTAACAGTAATAAATGCTAAAAGGGGATAAAAGTGAACTAAAATGCTTGGCCTGGGAAGAATGCGCAGAGGCAACTGCTCCTTCAGATGGTAGGTGGGGCAACCTGAAGAGGCGTGATGTCTGCACCAAAAACAGGAGCAGGGGAATAGCCAAGGCAGCAAAGTGCAGCTGCCTGACATTTATGGTCACCTAGTGGGTGGTTGTCAGGGTCACAGGGAGGAGAGGAAGGCCAGGGTCACAGGGAGGAGAGGAAGGTCAGGGTCACAGGGAGGAGAGGGTCACAGGGAGGAGAGGGTCACAGGGAGGTGAGGAAGGTCACAGAGAGGTGAGGAAGGCCAGGGTCACAGGCTGTTATGCTTTGAATATTCAGTTTCCCAGAGGTTCTTGAATAGAAAGCTTGCTCCCAGCTGGTGTTACTGGCAACTCTTAGAAGTGGGTTCCAGCTTGCTGAATTAAATCACTGGAATAACTTGTTATCCTGCTCCAACCTCTCCAGTCTCTCTCTCTGTCTCTCTCTCTCTCTTCCCCCTTTCTCTGTTTCCTGTCCAACACAATGTGAACAACTTTCTCCTTCACACGCTTCCCAACCACATGGAGACAAGCAACTGTGGATTGACCCCTAGGAGACTGTGAACCAATCAAATCTCTCCTTCCTTTTGGGCATTTTGGTCATAGCAATGAGAACAGTAACAAATCAAAAGACAGGATATTAATGCTCACCAGACACAAGAAACAACAAAGATCTCTGAAGTTGAAAAGGTGCAAAAAAGAGGTGGTGGCATGCGGAGGCATGGTGTCAAATGTAGCATGGTGACAATATGCTCAAGAACAGGAAGGGAGAAAGAGGAACGGGTAATGGAGGACACAGGTCTGCAGTAGGTGGCAGCCAACACACTGCCTCTTTTAAGCATTCGTGCTCCTTGAAGTCTCACATTCACATGGATTTAAAGAAAGTTCTCTTCTGGAGTAAGAATGCAGAGCACCACAGTGAGAGCACAGGAATAAAGGTGTCTGTGCTGTCCCAACTGCTCCACCATAAGATCGTCACTGTAGGAGACTATTAGGTCACTTGCATCTTAAATGAAGAATAGCATAGACAGCCAACGATGACACTGACATGGTAAGACTTATTATTGTTTCCGAAAGGAAGAGCAGAGAAGTTGAAGGCAGTCTACACAAATGGGAATGAAGCCAAGCAGTGAAGGAGTCCTGTGCAGCAGAGATTCAGTGAAGGAGTCCTGTGCAGCTCAGATTCAGTGAATGAGTCCTGTGCAGCAGAGATTCAGTGAATGAGTCCTGTGCAGCGGAGATTCAGTGAAGGAGTCCCGTGCAGCACAGATGCAGTGAAGGAGTCCTGTGCAGCACAGCTTTTCAAAGCAGCTCATACATGCCATTTTGCTGATGCAAACTATTACAAAAAATTGAATCACACATGTTTTGGTAATTCAGTACCATCTCCAGAAAGGTAGGAGAAAACACAGCTTAGTATCATAAGGTTTATTTGCTTATTGACATGACTATATAATGTCCCCATTGCTTGGGCAGTTTAACTTCTATTTATGTTGAATATTATATATACCTTGACTTTAGGGCTCTCAACTTAAACATAAAAAACATTACTCAATAAAATACAACATGAAAAACAAATAAAGTGAAAATCTAGGTGTGCTGCATTTTAGAGAGAATCTGGAAGCTCTTAGCCCCCATGGCATAGAGGCATAGCATGAATGTATTTGCAATTTCCCCAATTCAACTCTCATGTCCTCTGTTGACTACAGAAACCCAAATAATACAGAGACATGTTCTCTATAGACTGCATAAATGTAACAGACATAAAATACACAGATATAACCAAATAGCATTTACTATGCCAGTAACTGAGCTAGACCTAAGGGAAAGCACACATTGGGGTGAGCAGAGCATTAAAACTCATACTACAATTGGAGAAATGGGTTGAGCAAAAAAAGATTTGTCCTGGAAGTAAAGTACAAACTGTTATAAGAAAACAGAATGGAAATAATTCATCTATTCCAGTGTCTAAGAGGGTTTCTTTGAGGAAATTTCTGACCTAAAAATTACATAAAAGCCAGGCAAAAACAAGGAAAGAAAAACTTTCAATTGTGAGTAGGAAATACATGTCTCCCTTTGGAAATTGCAAGGCCCTGTGAATCCTAGGTAGGCTGGGGTAGACCTGCAGCTGAAACGGGAGAGCTTGCCATGGGTAAGGAATTCCACAGTGCAGAGAAGCCATGGAAGGGTTTGGATAGGAAAGGCCTTCTTGCCTATAATAAGAGGAATTTTACTCAGAGGTTTAGAAACAATATGATGAGAAAAGAAAATGTGTTTGTCTTTGTGTGTTTATTTTATTTTTTTAGATAAACAGAAATTCAGGGCCATGTGCTTCACAATTAATCCTATGGGAGGTGATCATCTGTCTAAAATATACCCAGCTCTCCTCTCCTCTTTGGCACAAATAGATTTTCTCCTTTCCAGTTAGGTGAGGACATGTCTAGGCCAAATTAATGTGGGCAGAAGTACCTGTGTCACTTACAGTCAAGATTTAGGGACTAACTCCCCTTTCTGTCCTCTTTGTCCTGGTGTCCAGACAGTGGCTGTTGTGTCAGTATTGATTCCATAGATGAGTATGATACAGGGAAAATGGACATGAGGACCAACACAAGCCAGCTACAGTTGACTGAAACCACCTGACAAGTATTGATGTCATAACTCCACCCTGCCTTAGTTGATACAAAGGTAGGAAGAAATAATTTTCTTTCTAGAGTTTCTATTTTATGATTTCTGTGTATGAAAATAACATAAAAAACTATCAATATATGTGCTAAAACATATGAACACACATATATAAGGAAATATGCATTGCGATATATGAAGCATCATTAATTGACAAAAGTGAAATTAAAAGAAAACAAAAAGCAAGCCATCACACTAATGTGACATCTACCAACTTGAGTGCAAAAGCCCTAATACTGCTTCCTCATTTGTCTTAATAAACTAACTGCACTCAACTAGAATGTCTGTCTCAAGAACTTCACCCATATACAACCTTGCTTCAATATTAACAAAAATAGCAGCAGCAAAGTTGGCTATAATGGAATAGCATGGAGCCTAGAATAGAACTCTGTATGAATGCCATTGGTTTAAAATGGGAACAACACAGTGTCTGTATGTTAGCTGGGGAGCCACATAGAAATTAGTGTATCTTATCCCACCATTTGCATCATACAGATAACTAATTTCATGCAGACAAGAGGCTAAGAGTGAAAAGCGAAACACTTCCAGGAGAAAACAAGTGAGTACAATTGCAAGCTTGGAGTCACACACAAAGAAACACTAGAGACAAGCTTAAGCATTTTTAATTGAATAGGAATTTAATAATATTAGGAGACAAACATGTCATTTAATGGAAAGGGAGACTATAGAGCAGGGCATGACTTAAACAATACAAGTTTGCAATAGACTTTTTATTGAAATATATAAGAAACAAATCAATAAAGTCAGACAACAGAATGAGAAACAGGTAGGAGCTTTTCAAGTATTTCATCAAAGAAGATATCCAGAGCACATCTGAGTTTGAAAAATATGAGCACCAGTGTGACCAAAACCAAACTGAAGAGAAAACACCCAAGGCTGTGGGGAGGAGAAACAGCTCAGTCTTTGGCTGCTGGCCATTCTGTAAAATGGTCAGGCCGATATCTACCTACTGAGTTAGACTATGGCACACTCCTGGTAGCAAACCAACACAGATGCGAACACAATCCCAGCAGAACAGTTGGAAAACTACCCAAGTGTTCACTAAGAGTAAAACAGGACATTCTTGCATGCCCCCCACAGTGCAGCAAATGAGGAAGTACAGCAACCATCAATCACTTATGTGAATTTTGTGATCATGACCCAACAAGCTGAGCTAGATTCATAAAGACGAGCACTGCATCGCCCCAGTCACAGACGCTTTATGAGTTGCATTCCATGGGTAGTTAGTAGAAGGCAGGAGGGCCCTGGGTTGCTGTAATTTTCTATTTACATTGAAATGTTACATCCCTTGATCAACATTTTCCCAGGCTATCACCCTGCCCTACTCCCAACCCTGATAGCCATTATTTCATTCTCTTCCCCTGCAAGTTCAGCACTTTAGATTTTATATATAACTGTAATCATGAAGCATTTGTCTTTCTGTGCCTAGCTAATTTTACTTCAAATGATGCCCTCCAGATTTATCTATAGTGTTGCAACAAGATTTTAAAGGCTGAACAGTATTCCACTATGTATATAAATAATACTCTTTATTTGCTCATTGTTGATGTCATTTACATGGGTCCCATGTATTGGCCTCTGTGAATAACACTGAAAAGAACTTGAGTGTAAGCATGTCTTTGGCATGCTGACTTTAGTTCCATAGGATGCATGCACAGTAATTGGGCTTTACTCTGAATAGAAAAAAAAAAAAAATAATTTTGGGACTGGAGAGATGGCTCAGCAGTTAAGACCAAGTAATGCTCCTGCAGAGGACTGGAGTTTGGCTCCCAACATACTTGTCAATGTCTGTAATTTACATCTTACAATTGCCTATAACTCCAGCTCAGGCGGATGCTGTGCCCTCTTCTGACCTGCATGGGTATCTATATTCTTTTATGTGCATACCACCCCAACACATATGCACATGATTAAAAACATAATCTTTATTCTATATTCTCCCTTTCTTCACCTCTCTCAAGCTTGTCTCTTGTATAGCATTCTCTAGTATCAGGACACCCCAGTGGATTTCCTTTCATTTCTGACAGTTAGTATTGAGAATTTTCTGTATACCTGATGGTC